TATATATATATATATATATAAACAGCAAAGGAGACAGACAGGTGCTGTTTACAGCAGGTCTCCAAGTCTATCCATCGCCATGTGTTGTGCGTAAAAGATGAGCTATGGAGACGCTCCATTATTAGTTCCCAAGTAAAGATGGTTTGGATATCTGTTATGAGCAATAAAAGGAGAGGGAGCGTAACTCAAGTCGTTTTTTTTATTATTATTATTCAGTCTCCATTATTGGAGCTGGATCTTCATCGCGTTTGACAGTTTTATTACGCGCCTCTCTTGGAGAGAAAAAAAAAAGCGCTTTAGATGATGGTTCCATTTATTTGTGGTAGTGAGGGGGGAGGCGTGGTGGGGAGAAGTTAAGGCACATACCTGCTGCCAGTTTTCCTCCAGCGACGGCATGGCGGAGAAGTAGCCGGTGTCGTGGACGAGCTGAAGTTCCTGGAAGATACTGTGGTTCGCCAGGACATCCATGCTTTTAGGACGCGATGAGAGAGAGAGAGGGGGTGAAAAACAAGAATCTGATCCACGAGAAACGCGCCTCCTCTTCTTCTTCTTCTTCTTCCTTTGCTTGTTCTTATTTAAATTATTATTTTATTTTATTTTATTATGTTAGAGGAGAGCCTCGGTCACACCTCCACGTCCACTCCTTTCATATTAGTCCTCAGCAGGTGATTAACAGCGCGGCGCAGCGGTGGAAAATGAGCCAATTAGGGTCCGTGTACCTGCGCGCATAATCGGACTCGGTGCGTAAAAAAAAAAAAAAAGAAAGAAAGAAAAGAAGAGCGGAGGCTGATGGGAGCTCCATGCGTATCCGTGTTGCCAAAATAACCCACTGATAGGGGAGCCGGAGGAAAGGGGGAGGGGCTTTGAAAATGAAGGGGGCGTGGCTCGATTTGTCAATCAACCCCCCCCCCCCCCCCCTCGTGTGGCCATTTATGGCGAGTGGGCGGTTAAGAAGAGGAGGAGCTGCTAATGGGAGCGGCGGCGGCGCGTGGAGGGGCGGGCTTTAGGAGGATCCCGGCGGCGCGGATTGGCTCGTGCGCCGCTCGCTCGAAGCGCAAATGGGCTCAATAGGTGAGCTATTTATGGATGGGTATATTAGATTTGGAAGAAAGACTCAGAGGCCAGTCTGAGTGGGGAAGTCGTGGTGTCAACATCATGTGCTCCCGGACCAGACCTGGAAAACAAGAAAACAACAGGCTGCTGGATTGTTCCACAGCTCCAACGCAAAGCGTCATGGGAAATTAGGAAGGTTTCCCAGCAGTACGCCCTGGAGGTTTTGACCTCTGATAAAACGCTTTTGGAGTGAAGAAAGTGTGAAAAATCTTGTTTCAATTAAAAGTCAGCTGACTTTAATGCCAGAAATTCAAACTAAAATGATGTTATGCAAAGAAACAATGGAGTTTTAGCCATTTTTGGTGACTTTGAAAACATCAGCTGCCAGCTCACAAAATACTACAAAATATTGCATGATCACTTCAGAGTATGTTTTGTTAATAACTCTCAACTACCAGGACAACTCTGAGCTGAATAAGCGTTAAACTGACTGAGTTACAGCCTTTTCTTTCCAAAGTTTGACTGGCTGTGGCGGCCATCTTGAATCAAATTGCCCCCAAAAGTTAATCAGTTGGAGAAACACATCCAGTGATTAGTTCCTGAGAGTTCATTAAAATCTATCCAGTGGTTCATGAGATATGTTGCTAACAGACAAATGAACAATTAGAATTTTAATGGTTTGTTTATAGCTGGCTCCTTCATTCTCAGAAATACGTTCTCGTTTGTTTTTGTTGTCACTCATAAGCTGTGAGGAAGGGGTGAGAAGAAGAATCTTTTTTTTATCCAAACATTTGGTGGCATGAGCCATATGTAAGTCACCCAAAACCGGTGCCCTTCCACAAACCGTCTCGATATTAGCGTCGGAGAGGTTTATTTTCTTGTTTTCGGAGCACTTGGGGTGCTGGCTGAGTAGGGGTGTAAGAAAATATCGATACACTGAAATATCGCAATATTTCATTTCCCAATACTGTATCGATATTCTAAAGCCCTGTGTCGATTTTTTTATTAAGGTTTAAAATGTCAACTTTCCTGCCAGCCGTTCATTTT